GGAAGCACTTAGGGGACTCATTAGCACATCATGAAAATGCTAAAACTCATATATATTGTTTGAAATCATGGCTTGATATGAAGCAAAGATTGAAAATAAGTGGAACAATAGATGCAGTTTCTCAAAAACTCATTGATTCTGATATAAATCACTGGTCTGAAGTTCTTTTACGCATTATATCAGTCGCTAAAATGCTAGGTGAGAGCTCTCTAGCTTTTCGAGGAACAAGCGATAAACTGTATGAACACAATAATGGAAACTTTTTGAAGTTAATTCAGTTATTGGCTTAGTTTGATCCTAAAATGGAGGAACACGTTCGCAGAGTCCCCAATAAAGAAGAAATCAAAGCTACATATCTAGGGAAAACTGTACAAAATGAAATAATTGAATTATTGCATGACAACATAAAGCACCACATCATTGAGCAAGTTCAAAAGGACAAGTATTATTCCGTGATTCTTGACTGTATTCCCGATGCAAGTAAATTAGAACAGATAACATTTGTGGTAAGATTTGTCTCCATACAGGAAAAAGAGTCTGAAGTTCAAGTTAATATCAACGAACATTTTTCTAACCATTGAGAGATCAACAGCTAAAGAATTGTCGGAGATTTTACTAGAAGAGCTAGAGAAAAATAGGCTTAAAGTAGAAAACATGCGCGGTCAAGGGTATGACAATGGTTCCAATATGAGAGAAGAAAAATCGGAATTACAAACAAGAATCAGAAATATAAACCCCAGAGCATTTTATGTTTCATGCAGCAGCCATTCGCTAAATTTGGTTGTAAACGATCCTCGTTTGAGGCAGCCAACATCTTCAATGTTGTTCAAAAGTTATATACATTTTTTTCTTCCTCTTCTTTTCGTTGGGCAATATTACTGAAATATATTGATACTTACACCCTAAAACCATTGAGTGATACGCGATGGGAAAGTCGAGTCGACTCATTAAAAGCTCTGCGGTTTCAAATTGGTCCAATTCACGATGCTTTGTACAGCATATATGAAGATTCAGAAATCGATAATATGATCAGAGACGAGGCAAGCGGATTATTAAATAATTTGAAGCAGTTCAAATTTATATGCTTTGTTGTGATCTAGTACAAAATTTTGAGTCATATTAACCCCATCAGTAAATTTTTGCAAACTGTAAATTTTAATATGTCACAAGCTATTGATATGATTATCAACTGCAAACTCTTTTTTAAAAACCTGAGATCAGATGAAGCTTTTGAAAGCATAATTTTAGAAGCAACCGAGCTTGCTTCAGAGATTGACGTGGAAGCTAATTTCGAAACCACCACACCACGTCATCGTGTCAGAAGCAAAACAAGAACGTTTTTGTATGAGGGCCCGGATGAACCCGTTCAAGACCTCAAACAAAAATATAAAATGGATTTTTTTTTCACACTATAGATCAAGCAATAAATGCCTTGGAAACCAGATTTAGGGGGTTATGATTAACAACCTGTGTTATTTTATAAACACACAGAAATTACAACCTGTTCACAAATAACGTGTCTGTTAAAAATAACATTATTTGTCGATCATAACCCCGATAATTTGCTAAATACTCACAGTAAATATTTCAGCTTTTTGTAAAATTAAGGTTTTACCCGGATCGCCAAAATGTCTAGGGCCGGCCCTGAACCTTGGCGTCCTCATTACAAGTAGATGCAAAAAACAAGCTGAAATAGATCTCCATCTAGCCAAAAGCAATAGATGTGCAGGAGTTTTACATTATTTATTGAAATCTAAAAATTTGTCATGAGAAATTAAAAAATGTTTACACATAACTATAATCAGACCTACAATGCGACACTAAATAAGAAAGAACAGATCGAGATTGAAATATGGAAACTAAAGATACTAAGAAGAATATATGGTGTCAAAAAGACAGAAGAAGAATTGAAGAAATACGAGCAAACAAAGAGATCTACGAAATATTAAACGAACCTAGCATATACAAAATAATACAGTCAAAAAGGGTCTAATGGTTGGGACACTTAGAAAGGATGGAGGACTCAAGGACAGTAAAAAATTAAGCTTGGACAACACCGGAAGAGAAAAAAGAGAGGGAGGTCTAGGTGTAAATGGAAGGAAGCGATTATACTAGATCTTAGGCAAAAAAGATCACAAACTAGAAAGAAAAATCCAAGATCAGGGACGAATGCAAGAAACTAAGCAGGCCATAGACCTAAACGGTCTGTTTTGAGCCTTAAGTATATATACTTTGTCGAAAGCTTGCGCTACGTCTATGATATTGGTTTTTCGGTAGACTTGGTCAATGGTCAAATATTTCTCTCTAAAACCAAACCGATATGTCGGAATTATTTTGTTTTCCTTCTAAGCTGGATTTTATTTTCTTTAGGAATATTTTTTCAAATAATTTAGAAATTACAAGAAGTATTTAAAGAGCTTTGTCTATACGATGAAACTTTATTTGGTGGTTTGCCTGGTTTAGGTGTCATTATTACCTCGGCCACTTTCCGTATCTTAGGTACCTACATACTTCAATCTGAAAGAGTCATTAATAAGATAGGTTAGTTTAACTATGGCTTTCCTAGGAAGTTGCTTTAATATCTCCCAGGTAGTTAAATAATCAAATTGTGGTGCTTTTTCCGGTTAATATTTTCTTTTGTTTTTAAGGCTAATTCTTTTGGAGTTGTGAGTCTGATTTCACACTCTGTGACTAGTTTTCACATGTAAACATGTTAACTTTTTCATTTGGTTAAAACGTTCATTTAAGATATTCGGCAAATCTATTAGCTTTTTATAGATTACTATTTGCCCAACTCGCAGCTGTGTTTAGAATAGTCAGTTTTAATATCATTTCTCAATTCACTTAGAAATTCACTAATACATTTTTTTGTCATTTGAATTTTTCTTTTAAGTAGCTGAGTGGCATTATTCAATCTAGTTTTTCCAGCTATTCTTTAGGATAATTGTTACCTTTGGTTCTTGGGGTATTTTTTCACTATCTAATTAATCTTCATATCTCAGTGGAACTGATAAATTGATAGTTTCTTCGAGCTCATATTTGAAGTTGTGCCAGTCAGTACGTTTATTTACCAGTTCTTTTTTGGTATGAGAAGGATGGGAGAGAGGTCAGAGTTCATAGCCAAAATTTATCTAACATGCATATAATTACAAGAAATATTTAGAGTTATGAAGAAGTCAATTAAGTCAGGTATTTTATTTGGGAGCGCCGCAATTTCCGTTCCAGTTATTTTTTTATTGTTTGACAATTGTATTTAAATAATTTATTTGGTAGGAAAAATATCTGATTATATTCCTGTATATCCCGTTATTTTCTATAATACAGGGAGTGCTGAAATTAGTGTTTAATTTCTTCCGCCGTGCTAGTGAGAGTTTATTTTATTTTTGTAAATATATTTTGTTAGTAATCCCTGTGTTTATTTTACTACCGGCTCTCAACCGTTTTATTTTAGGGTACGAGGTGCAACGGAGAATAGTATCTTTTAATATAATTTAGTGGCTACCCCGTTAGCGGTAACTACCTGGAGGTATTTTTAGCTTCACTGAGTTTATTTTGAGTACACAGGATCGCAGGGAAAACTGTGCTAACAAAACTGACGCCTGAGCAGCCCTTATTCTGATCTCACCACTTCAGCGCCACACAGACTTCCTAATTTACAGTAGGTGAAGCCAGAAGCCTGTCTCAATCTGTAGGCCAATATGTCGGTTTTCCCGTAGATAGATTTTCACATTTTAGCTGTTTGGCTGCTTCTAAAAGCTGTTTTCCTTTTGTAGTTGTTAATCTAGACCCCCAGTGAGTATGTTTGGCATTAAACTCACCTTAGACGATGCATCTAAATTCAAAACTGCTCAGATGGACAGTATACTGCACTGACAATAACCTCATATGTTTTAGTCTTTATTTTTATAGCTGTAGTTTCTTGATGATGTATAACTTTTTCTCGTATTATGATAGCACTGTCTCATTTAGCTGCGTTATCAATATGTACAAAACAGGATACTTTATATTCTATATATTTTATAAGCGATTGTCTAATGAAATAAGTTTCAGAGATAAGCCAAATATCAACTTTTTCTATATCCAGGAATACCTGCACCTCTTGTTGACGTTGCAGGGGTTCATTGGCGTTCCATTCCAAATTATTTAACGTTATAATTTTAATGACTGTCTTCTTATACTACTAAAAGACATTTATATAATTTGTCCAATCATTGCAATAAAGTAAGCACATGAATGCCCATGGAGTGATTGAAAAATTAGGGATGATCGTGTCATAGACCATTTTTTCCTTTTACTAAAATTCATTATATTGTACCTTAAACGTTGTATATTTTTTCTATTTCCCAGCAAAAAGGTAGTACGTTTTGAATTTCAAGTGAAGACATCAGTATTTACATTAAGGTATTTAGTGGTATGAAGCAAAATACATGAAAATATCAAATAGATTTAATTGCTTAAAAATTGCCACGAAAGAGAAAGGGAGTTGGGAGTGTCAAAATTAAAAAAAAATACCTTACTTAATTAATGGAAGCTCCCTTTCATAAAAAAAAATAGTATCAACTAAATACCTTTGGTTTAAAACATCTGTTTCCAAAATGGGCGAAGCTGCCTAATGGGAGGCGGTAAATAATTATTATGAAATACAAATAATTGTTAGAATGAACAAACAATAAATTGGCTACCGTGAGCAGTTCTGTCCACAAGAGCTTTTTTGGAATAATTATTCATATTTCGTTACTAAATGGTTGGCTCTAAAAAATATTCTTATTTACTTACATAATTTAGATTTGCGAAAGAGTATTTTTTTAGGGAGCATTTTAAATCAAGCTAAAGTTAATATTTATTATTCACATCGTAGTCGCTTTAATGATGAATAAAAGTTTTTATTTATTTATATTTACACTAAGATTGACAACTAATTAAATTACCAAATTCAGTAATTCTAATTTGCCTAACCACAAACTTGCTTTTAAGAAATTTTATTTAGCGAAAGTGCTTACCCCTAATACGAGTAATACAGCCAAGATTCCTAGAACGTTGAGCGACCTTGTCATGATGTTCCTTGTGCCAGTGTTCAGCCGTTGTATCGTTTCTGTAATGAAAATTATGAAAGCACCTTGACATTGAAAGCCAAAGCAGATGTAGTGAGGCACACCGCACCTCTCTGCACCTGACAGACTATGACCTACTAACACACTCCGTAAGCACAGTTCAGCATCCTGCATCGTAAATGCATCTTCATTTTATCTATCGATGTGTTTATACAATTTACATCACTTTTTGCGTTCTGTTCTGTTCACTAACCAACACTGATTTGTTATTTTAAAACTAAACTAATCAGGTAAACTTTCATAGGTTTTCTACGAGGTACGTATGTAGAGGGGTAATTAGTCCCTCTCCAAGAATTTACGAATCTAACAATAAACAATTGAAGATTACAACAGCGCCTTTATAATAAATATAGTCTCCTAAAAACTGATTATAAATAATTTTTATAGACATTTCACAGTACATTCACAATTTCTGAAATTAAGTTTAAAAATAAAATTTTACATAATTCGGGAAAAGTAATTCGGTATGAAACAAAATTACTATTTTTATCAAGGGTTTGATAATTCCTTTGTTATTGGGTTCAAAAAATATGTTATTAATATAATAATTATTATTCTTATACAAAAATGTATGCAACAATTTAGTGATTACATTAGCAAGGTAAATAAACAAAGAAAACCTCGAAGGGAACTAGTGCAGAGTGGGCCAGGAAGCAAAGAGGCAAAAATTCGAAATCGATATATTATGTTTTGATTTTAGTATAGTAGATTTCAATATAAAATCCAATGCACGCCATCGATGACAGACATTATAAAATAATGAAATTTTATTTCACAATTGAATAAATTCAGACGCATAGATTTTCGTTTTTAAAAATTGAGTATTTATAATTTATTTTTTAGGATATCACAGTAGTAAATGTACCGTAGGTAAGTTTTTAACAGAATAATTTTCCTGAATTTCACACTGAAAATTGGCAACAAAATTTTTTACTGTTAATTTCGGCAAATTGTTGTGAAATTGTGTTGTCAACAAATTATTTGTATTTGAGATTAAATTATTAGAAATAAGTTTAATATAATGCATAAAAGATGAAACAAGCGAGATCTTATAGAACTTTTTGATGTTACCGTAAAATGGAAAGATTTTTTAGGAAAATATGTCAAAGAAAATTAAGCAAGTTTGCATTATTTTGTGTTTATTGACGATATTTGGTTTCTCCAAAATGTTACGATAAACCAGTCATTAAAAGAAGTGTAAAAAGTACAAAAGTTGATGTTAAAAAAAATAATAAATCTATACTTTGCACTATAAAGTCTTCATACTAGAAACAAAATTGCAATCAATGATACTATATATGCTTTAAAAAGCAATCAATGTGATTGACATGGTGAGAGGAATAACGAATTTTTCTTCAAATGGTTCGAAGAATTATTACTTCGAATGCATCAAATAACACATTGGTACATATAATACCAAATAATTATTGGACTAAGGTTCTAATTTTTCGAACAATTACTCCCAAAGTATGGAAAAATTCTATTAAATAAAAAGATATTCAAATGATATTAAAGTTTATGATAGATTGGAAAAGGATATTTTAATTAGCCCTAACAGAGATGACAGTGATTTGAGTACTTCGGATTTAGATTTGTATTTGGAGAAATAATCTTGTGTAGAAATTATGAGATTAGTAGATGATTTGTTTCTTATAAAACCTAAAAAATAAAAATTTTTAAACAAAATATCGTTTAATTTTAATAACAATAAACGGTTTGATATATTTTTTATATATCTTTATTTATTTTAGACCAAAATATAAATGAAAAAATCAATATTATTAGACTCTGAGCATTCGCTATGTAATTAAATTTACAATGCTTTTAAAACGACTAGCACAAATAAACAAGTCTATATAATATAAGGATTTTTTTATAAAAGTTTATTGAAAATTTAGAGTAGTTATTATAGAAAGAAGAATATATAACAATTATACAATCTAGTGTTCATACATTCACTAATTTTAGAGGTAAAGTCTATAGTTGTTAGTTAACTAACGAACACCCACTTTATAGACTGGACCAATTCTGGCTAAATTCAATACTTGAGAAATCGAACCATTACTAAAAGTGAGATTGCTATAATTCCTACTTAAATATTTCAACAATTTTATTCTTGTATTCAAATATGTTAGCAATTTCATTCTTCAATTTTATAAATATCTTGACTGATATTTTGTCTTCTCTGCTTTTGTAAATTTAATTATTTCAATTCTCGTTAATTTTTAAGGGTGTTATTTCCAACTTAAATATAATATTTTTATGTTAAATGACTTTCTTGGTGGAATGAAATTAGTTTGAGATAATTTATGTATTAATTCTGGACCAGTTTTAATAACTACTTACAGTTTTATTTTCCATAACTATTTGAAACATGATTACAGCTTTTTTATCCAGATGCTTATTATGCACAAAGGAATTCAATTTTCCGATCAACTATATCAGAGGTTATATTTAAAATTAATTGTTTCTAATATAACAAAAAAAAAACATTTATAAAACTTTATAAAACTTTTACTCAGAATTGGGTTGTATTCGAATACCTGGTATTCTGAATCTTATTCAGAATACATTTGGCTACTATTCGAATACATTTGTGTTTTCTGTATTCGGTATTCGACTGAATACTTTTTTAGTCAGTACTCGGTATTTTGGATTCAGAATACCATTTTTGAATCCTAGTATTCGAATACCCACTTTGTATTCGAATCCCGGTATTCGAATCCTGTTTTCGAATACTGTTTGATTATTTCTATGAATATTGCGATCTTTTTGAAATGTTGGTTTTGTTGAAGGCAAACGGGATAGGAAATGCTTTTTGATTGATGTCTTCTTTCTGATATCCAAGTACTAGTGCGTCGTTATGAATGTTATATTATATTTTATTTAAAACAAAAAGAATTTATTTTAAGTTATTTATTATTTAAGATTATTTTTCAAGGATAGCTTCTTTTGCTAAGCAATTCTATTGTGTTACCTTATTGTGTTCGAATTTCCAATGAATGTACCAAAGAAACTATTTTAAGTTTTATTTATTATACAGAGTGTCCCACGAGATACGCCTCGGACCATAACTCCATAACGGTGCAATTTTCAAATTTTTTTATGTATTTTCAAAAAAGCCATCTTTTAAAATTAGTTTTCGAAAATTGCACCGTTATGGAGTTATGGTCCGAGGCGTATCTCGTGGGACACTCTGTATAAGTAAGTAGGTTGTAGGGTATAGGTTATAGGTAATAGGAATTGTTTATTTTTTATTAAACAATAAGTTTGTGTTTTTATCTGACGGTGTACCAAAGAATTTTATTTTAAATTTTTCATTATTTTATCGTTATTTATAATTTTTTAATAAAACTAAGAAATAAAAATCAGCAATTGTTTTTTATTAAACAGTTATTTTATTTAACCTCACTGTGACACTGTGTATCAAAAAATGATATTTCAAATTTTATTTAACATAGATTTTTAATTTTATAATTTTTTTATAAATTAATTACATAAATAATAATCAAGCTTTATGTGCGCAAATGTTATTTGTAGTTGGAATATTCATAAAGTATTCATATGTAAATGAATCCAGGTATTCGAATACAGCGGTATTCAAATACTTTTTTTTCTTTGTATTCGAATATTGATTATTCGAATACAATTTAGAATACAGTATTCAGAATTCGTATTCGAATACCGGATTTCAGTATTCGACCCAACTCTGCTTTTACTGTGGTATGCTATTCAAAAATTTTGATTTAGTTTGGATACCGTTAGAGATAGACACATACTTATATACCTTTTCGGAATCTACGGGACGAGTTCTATAAGATCAGAATGTTTTGTCAACACTGCAATGTCCCTATAAACATTTTTTAACAGAAATATCAAGTTTTTTGTTGCATATCTCGGCAACCGTTGGAGCTAGGAAGATGTGGTTTGCGGCGTTGATTTTTTTCTCTAAGAACCCTACAAAATGTTTTATATTGAGATATCTCAACTTTCTTTCACCACATTTCAATATTAACCTGTCTTGTTTAGATTTAATTCACACACGTTTAATAGATAATGTATTTATTTCAGTAATATAACGATCAGCTAAAACTATAGAAACTCGGTCTATAGTAATAACAACCCGTCAAAAATAAAAGCATAATGAAGTAAATATTTTATGAAAGTATACTTCATTGATGTAAAATCAATGTAACAAGATTCATTTATTTTAATATCTTAGTTGAATTTTGAACAATTTTGGCTCACTGTTGTTTGCTTTTCGACTTTTGTTCATATTTGAATAAATCATTGTGGAAACGGAGAACTGCATGATATAAATGGGGAATATTTGAAGTTTATTGTGATGTTTTTTAGACAAAAGTAAAAAATTGTACATTCTGAATTTACAAATACAAATACGAATTATTTAAGAATTTAAAAATTTTTGATTTTTGTGAGTTTACGGATCTGTAAAAAAACCAAGATATTGAGAAATATTGTGATTTTCAAAAACATAACTAATTAGTCTTTTAATAATTATCAAGCGAAAAGCCGTAGGTATCCCATTAACTGCAATTTGGTGGTATATTACAGCTCGCTGGGCTATATAAATAAGTACAGGTATACCGTCTTTTGCAGTAGACATAAAACCGTAACTGCTAAGTCCATGGGCAATAAGCTCTTTAAAAATTCTTAAGTAATAATAATTATAATAATAATACTACTACTACTACAACTACTACTACTACTTTCCTTATAATTCGCCCCCTTACGAATTAATTTTAACCTCAAAAACTGACTGCCGAAGAGACGGCTATTATTATTATTTGCCCGGGGCGACCTAAAGATGATTGATGGTGCCATTTGACTTACAGATGAGGAAAATCCACCCACCATTACTAATTGTGCACACCACTTTTGAAAAACGTATTTATTTACATAGTCATTGACATTAATAAGTGTTAATAGCAAACGGCAAGGTGGTTCGGACATATGGATAAAAGAGAACATGGTACCACAGCAACTAGATGTAAGATAAACAAGAAGAGATTAGATAGAGTAAAGAAGGAGTAGGAAGGAGAAGAGAACTTAATGTCAACGAATGACAAGTAGCAGT